TGTCGCCTCAAAATAAAATGGGCTACCCTTTCGGGCTATTTCCGAGCCTCTACTCCTCGTCGTCATCATCAGCAGCATCTGCCATGCTGGTGTCAGCAGCGGGTTGCGCCTTGTCAGCCTCATCATCAGAATCTCCGCCCGCACCATTCTTCTTGGGGCCTTCATCCTCGTCCTCATCCTCGTCGCTCTCAATGACCCTGCCCCGCCTGGACCGTGAGTTTTGCTGCCGTCTGCTGATTCCACCGTCCTCGTCATCGTCTTCGTCGACATCTCTGTTGTTGTCAACCTCCATCTTGTCCTCGTCATCGCCGCCCTTCTCTTCAGCATCAGAAAGAGGAGAGCTGGCCTTTTCGAGTGCCCTCTCTGCACGATCCAAGGGGTCCTCGTCCTCATCCTCGTCATCGCTGTCGACAATGATCTCCGCAGACTTGTACTTGCTATTCACCGTGGACTCCTTCTTTGTAAGGCGGCGCTTCTTCTTTGTTGGGCGTTCCTCGCCCGAGTCTTCGCCGTCTGTCTCGGTAGCCTTCTTCTTGCGTGACCCTCTCTTCGGGCGGCTTTCGCCATCGCCTCTGGGCGCCGACTTCTTCTTTCTCTTGACTTTGTCGCCAGTCTCGCTGTCGGTTGTCATTTCGGCATCTTGTCGGGCCTTCTCCTCCTCGGCACGACGCTCTGCAATCTCTCTGTCTCTTGCCGCGATTTCTTCTCTCTCCCTTCTGATCTTCTCCTGTTTCTCGCGTTGCTTGTCCAGAGCTTGTTGTCGTTCCTCCTCACGTTTCCGGAGCTCGACTTGACGCTGCTCCAGAGCCGCCTGCAACTTCTCCTTGTTCTTCTCCTCGTACTCCTTCTGGCTAGCGATGGCTCTCTCAAGCTGCTTGCGTTGAGTGTTGCGGGCCATGTTGGCACGCTGCTCGACGTCGTGTTTGGGGTAAGGAGTTTGGGGGTGGCTCGCGATCTCATCGAGAGCAGAGATTGCAGATTCAAGCCCAGTGGCAGCCTCTTGAAGTTGCGCCAACGTCCGCTGGTTCTCGTTGAGGCCATAAACAGTGGTTGCCATTTGGATCTGAACGAAAGCCACATTGAACTTGTAGTGAACTTGTTCCGGTGCTGCTTCGAGTGCCTGAATATTGTGTTAGTGCCTGCAGATGGAATTGCCTGGAGACTAGTAAGTTACCTTTTGTGCGTACTTGAGCGCCTCGTGGTACGCGTCCAGGAGTTTCTCGGATCGGCCCTTGTTGAGCCAAGTCCGTCCCAAACAGGCGAGAATGACCGGGTCGCTGCCCTTGCCCTCTTTAGACAGAGCAACCTCGTAGTTCTCGATAGCCTTGGAGTACTGCCTGAGCTCGGCATAGATGTGACCTAGGTTGACGTAGACATGTGCATCCTTGATGGTGTCCCGAATCTTGACGAAAATGCCCAAGGCCGTCTTGTAATCCTTCTTGTCCTCGACCAGCGCGATAGCAATACCCTGTGCCGCGAAGGCATTTTTGGGGTCCAAGGAGAGGGCCTTCTCAAAGAACTCAACCGCTTTGCTGTATGTTGCACTCCTCTTGGCTTTGTCACTGTCGCTTTCACGTCGCATCTCTCGAGCTTGGATGAGGTACAAATTGCCCATGCCAACCAAAGCATAGCGGTCATGCTTGTCGTAGTTCTGGAGTGTGTGTTTGTAATGACGGAACTCGTGGTCTTCGTTGATGTTGTGTGGGCGCTTTCTAGAGTGCACCTTACCCATGTACCAGCCGTACAAGGCTCGGACCTCGAGGTCCTGAGGGTTTTCTTGGTACAGCTTGGCAACGGCGTCAGGTCCCTCCTTGTTGGGGTTCCTACGAAGCTTGATATACGCAAGTCTCGTCCTGGCGTCGGTATAGTCGTCGTGGCGCTTCAGCAAACCTTCGTATACCTCGGTGGCTTTGTCGTAAATACTTTGTGACTCGTAGCTTCGACCAAGATTGAAGCTAATCGTGGTGACCAAAGCATCCGTATCAATCTCTTGATCCTTCTCGCCGATCTTCATGCAAGCACCCAGAGCCGCCTCAAACATTTCGCTGGCCTGCTCGTGCTTCTCAGACTGCGAGTAAAAGCAACCGATGTTGTTGAGGAGCTGCGGAGGGAGGAACTTGCGGAGGGCTGCGCGGTTCTCGGCTTCATCTTCGATTCCGGTCGGGCGTTCTTCCTCGGGGATCTGGTCGAGTTCTAAGTGCTCGACTTGGAGAAGGCACTGCTGAGCTCTCTCGGGGAACTCATGCTCGTACAGACGGGCCAGGTTTAACAAAACCGCAGCGTCTGGGGACATGCCCTTCTTGCTGTCCTTCCAAGCACCTCGCACACCCTCCAGAAGCGAAATCGCCTTCTTCATCTCGGCTGACTTGTCCTCCTTGCCGTCCGCGTCTTCGTTCGCGAAAACTTCCTCCGCGTACAAAGTGCCCAGCAAAATCATAGCTTCGTGGTTCTTGGACTGCTGAATCATCTTCTCCAATCGCAACTTCGCCTCACCGAGGTCGCCTCGAAGCACTGCTAGCTGGGCAGCGCCGAATTTCGCAGGCATGTAGCCACGCTCGGCACCGCCACGCGCATCATCAGCTCGGCGATAGAAGTCGCTGGCACGTTCTGGGTCGCCAGTGTAGTGTTCCTTTCTTGCCAGGAGATACCAGCCGTCACTCGCGATCGCATTGACGTCGGTGTACTGAATCGCCTTGTGTGCGAGTGAGTCTACCGTGCCGAGCTGTTTGCGCGACAGGAAGTAGCCGGCAAAGGTTGCGCATGTCAACGGCATGTTCTTGTCGAGTTTGAAAGACTTCTGGGTGTACTCGGTCATTGCTTTCTTGTATAGATGAAGAAACTCGGGGCTGTTTGTGGGGATGCGGCTGCTGGCGTCAAGATGATAGAGACCGAGAAGAATGTTTCCAACCTTGTGCTCGGGGTTGATTTCGACACACCGCTCCCAAGCAAGTTTAGCATCATCCTTGAAGCCCAATTGCCAGAAACAGCAGCCAATGCCTATCCTCGGATCGGGGTCGACGAAGTCGGGCATCTTTTGCAGAACCTCTTGGTAGGATGCCAGGGACTCCGGGTACTTCCCGAGTGAGAAGAAAGTTCGCGCCTTGCCCATCACCGCAAGCATGTTCTTCCCTTGCGACACTCGGATGGCGTCTTCGAAAGCCTTGAGTGCCGATCGCAACAAATCTGCCTTTTCAGAGTCCACCTGTCCATGACCTGCCGCCTTGGGGGTCTGCAGAGACGCTCTAAGCAGCTGCAGAACTCCGCGAGCCAGGAACAGGGGAGGGTACGCTGGGTTGATGCGCGACGCATCGTTTAGCGTAGAAGTCGCCAGTTGCAGGTAGTATTCTTTTGTCTTGGCTTCGGAAGCCAACTCGCCATCGGGGGGCACTCTCGGCGCTTCGCGACTCTTCCACAGATACATCCAGCAGAGGCATCCGATCATGCTCAGCTTTTCCCTTGGGTTATTGTCGCGCATCGCGTTTCCACCTCGGACCAGCATCTCGATAGCATGGTCAATTTTCTTCTGCTTGGCATAGGCCAGTGCAACGGTCATCCAGTAGGTTCGAGCGGCGCGTTCATTTTCGAAAAGGGTGCAAAGTTCGGTAGGGTCATCGAAAAGTTCGAGGAGATCGATTTCGACGGCTTCGTCTTCGGCTTCGCCTTGAACCGGGACGTCGATGGCGGCTGGGATGTCAGAGAACCGCTTGCTGACTGGCGCGCTGGCTGCGCCATTGGTGCCATTCATCGCGCCGTTCTTGAGGGCTGACATTTTGGCGGATGGGAGGCTATGACATGCCTCGGATAAGTTTGGTGATGAAGTGGATGAAAAGTGAGGCAATCTAGAAATTCGGGGGGGAGCTGGGATGAGGCTGAGGAAAGATCAATCCGTCGCGTAGCACTTGCCTGCCACGCCTGCTCAGTTGGCCTTGCACATGTGGATCCATAAAAGACGCTACCTAGTGGGGTGCTCTCGCAGCTTTCCACCAGCCTTGGTCACGTTTTGATTGGCCAATCAGCTACATAAGGTACTGAGTACAGGTCTTCTCAGTCACAGCTGTTGATTACATCATGTACTGTATACATATAACTTCACTTACACGCTTGTCACGTCTTCTCTCTTTTCCTCGACTTAAGGTAACCCAGATACTCTACAAAATAGCCAAGCTTTCCAAGTTGAGTTGTAAATCATTGAAGTGAGATGAGCAGATAGGCTTTGGCAATATGTAGCTCCTCGCTCGATGAGACGTCCGTTGCATGGGTGGATGCGATTCGAAAATTGATGATTGAAATACGGACATGAGCTACAAACCAAGACATTTGGCATAGGTAGAAAACGCGCATAAGTCCCGGTCCTGGATTTTTTTCCTTTCCCCAGAATAAAGAGCTCGAGTTCAAACTCTCCAGACGCAGGAAAAGCTCGAGGCTTTAGCTTGTCTACCAAGTCAGCAAAGGAAGGAGCAAGTGAGGTCGCCTAATCGACTGACAGAGGCAGGTGCGCCTTCGCTAGCAACTTCTCACCTTGCCACACCCAAAGTTCTTTCTTTCACACCACCTTCCACCCGTGATTTTACTTTATCGCAAAATCACATTGATTGGCAATATTCTTTTTCTTGACCTGTTGATACAATCGGAAGAAGTGCCAAGCTGGCATTCGACCACCATTGCCACCATTCGAACAGCTGTCAACCTTCACGCAGTTCACCATGCCCGCCATTCCCAAAGCTGTGAAAGGCAGGGATGGCCTTTTGGAGAATTGCTTTCACAATCGGAGCACCGAATTTCTGACAGGGCGACAGGTCGAAGAACCAAGCGGTCCACTACCCCCGGTGCCCCCAGTACCGCCAGGTTCTCAAGTCCAATGTTCTGGATGGGGATGCCTCAGTGAAGCACAGCAGGCTGGGATTCTTGTAACCATTGTTGTGGTATTCTTATCTCTCTTTCTTGGTCTGCTATTCTTTCTACGATCAAAGAAACAGGAGGATTGGGTTGATGGTGACCTCGTCCTTGTCCGGCCGAAGCGACGACCCAGACCCAGAAGCCAAGCGGCCTCCTTCAACTCACAGCATTCGCGCTTCTTCTTCAGACACGAGGGGCTGACAGGCACGCAGCAGCCTCCTCCACTCATGATTGCTCATCCGACAATTCTTCACATTCCTCCGCCTCCTCCTCCGCCAGTTCCGGTTCCCCTCTCAATGCCGATGCCGATGCCGATGCCATTCCCACCACCTCAACCGATATACCCATATCCGATGGCTTATCAGACGAACCAATACCATTCGATGCAGGCGCAAGCACTTGGACACTCTCAAGGACCCTCTGTAGCTCCAAGGTTCCCGATCAACACCCAGTACCAACAGCAACCGCAGCCTTATCCTCAGGCCCAGCAACAAACTCACTATCCATGGAGTCAGATGCCTGGCCTTCAGCAGCGCTCTCCACAGCCACCGCGAAGAAGACCATCACTTGCACGAAGACTCTTCGGTCTGTTCAACAACCCAGTCGGTAGGGCGTCAACCATTGCCAGCTCCGACTCGGACTCAACTCGAGCACCATCAATAAGGAGCAGTCGCCATACGCGGACTTCATCCATTGCCACACAGCCGTCTCCTGTAGCGCGACCCAAGGGGGATGCAACGCATGGAGCAGACGCAACGAGACCAGTTGAGGTGTCTCCCACGGTGGCCACTGTCCAGAGTGATGACTACATCGCTCCTGCGACTATGCGGGATGAGTCTCCTGAACGCCGCCAGCCAAATTCAGCTTCGTCAGTCCCAGTCAACTTGGGTAGCAAAGTTCAAGATGAGGCGCGAGGGAAGGTCACTGCTATCGAGTCTCCGGCCAAAGAACAAGACAAGGCTGAGCCTGACAATGCAAAGGCAAATCCGACTTGGAAGCCGATCTGCGAAGACGCCGAGACCGCTAGAACCTACCATCCTCGACCTATCGTCAAGCCCCTTAAAAGGTATGATGTTTCGACTACAATCATGGATGTAAAGCTCACAAAATACAGTGCCCTGAAGAACGGAAGGAAAGCCGCTGCAGGCGCTAGACCAAGCAACATGAAGAACGACCAGAAGCTCTTATCCAAAGAGGATCCAAGGTAAGGGGGACCCCATCTAGGTCCCAATGCTTACTGACTTCACCAGTGCTCAAACGGACTTCGCGTCTAGTCGTATGATCACTTCGTCTATGGACGCAGAAGCCAGCTCGAGAAAGGGCAAAGAGTAAACTACTTCCTGAGTCTTGAACTAGAACCGCACGCTGATACGATTGATAGAGAGGAACAGCAGGGAAGCTCTGTCGATAAACGCAGCCCTAATAGAGACGCAGTCCGCGAGGTCAGACGTGATTATCCAGACGTCTTGGGTATGCCCAAGAATGCTGTTGAGACGACGAAGAAGCCAGTATCGGCTCCTTCAAGCAGCCCAGTCAGAACAACAGAGAAGAAGCAAGACCAGAGCTCGAGCCCCAACCAACACTTGCGGGGATCCTCGAGCAGAACTGAAGAACTTCGGTGAGCCGCACGAACCAAAACGCCCAGGCATTGGCGAGTGAACGCTGACTGATATTGAGATTCGATGTGTCTGGCTCTGATGTCACGGAGACCAGCGGCTCGCTTAGCGACTACTCGCCGCCCCCGTCTCCTCCGAGACCAATCCACCAGGGCGGCGGTAAGTATGCTCCTGACCAGCTGCGAAAGAAGCAGGCAAGAAGAGCGTACTAGGCTACGATGACAGACGCGGCGACTGAGTGGTCACCACGAATCGGTGGCGGAGAGGAGCGACTGATGCACGAGAATGATTCTTTTTGGAATCAAGATGAAACAAGATTCGGACCATACGAAGCATCGTAATCCCCAGACAGGCGACCTACTGTCTAGTGGTTGGGGGCGTTTTTGGTCCTGACAAGATAGGTGGAAAAGCATGTGTATTTGGTCATTCGGGTCACCAAAGCTTTTTTGAACCGATTGAGATAGGTATTGGGGTCAGGAATAAGGGTTCAGATGTGCTACAAGGATGTAGAATGATACAGACAAGCAGTTCGTCCATACCCAATGAAGAGATTTGTGCAGCTGTGGTTCATAAGATATGCCGAGTAATGCATAGCCTGGGAATGCACACAGATGCTCAGCGGGGTGCAAAGCAGGGGTAACTTTGGTAAGACAGGTATTTGTGTCACTTTGGCCTGTGCGCAATGGAGGTGAGGTACCTTGTCACTGCTTGTCCGGGTGCGTACGACAAAAGCAGCAAGCAGCAGGAGCAGGGCCCCCAGGGGAGGTGGCTTCGTCATTGCCTGCTGCTCCGGCCGGAAAGGCACTTGCTGCACCCTGGAGCTTACCTTAGTCCAACCTCGCGCAGCCCCGATCACCTCTCCCCACGCTGCCGCCCGACAAGTCTGCTTGTCCGTATCATAACTCTCTTTCAACCCGACCATTATTCTGTCAGCCTCAAGCCTTTCACTTTTTGGGTCAGCGTTCAACATTTATCGGACCTTGCGATCATCAACCACATGCTTGTCGCATGCCGACAGACAAGTGCCTTCCATCATTCCCACCCCTCCTCCCCCCCTCAGCTCCCGGCTCAGCTGCGCATCCCCGGTTGCGCATCCTGTTTGAGACTGCAAACCCTTCTGGACGATTGAATACCGACCTATAGCTTTGTTTGCCATTCCTTCCAATCCGACACCGACACGATGTGGAACGATGAGGATAATAATCCCTATGGCGAGGGCTTTGACCGGAGAGACAGCCTGACTTCCTCTTCTGCCAACCCAGCCTCTCCTACTACTCGTGAGTGTATGTTGCGATCCTTCCCCAGTTCAACCCCTCGTCGTTTTGAAGATTTCAGAAAATGATGGAAACCATAGATCTGGATGATTCTTCAGACAGTACTGATGCCGACTGGGAGACTCTAGACCAGCGATTCGACATCCCTCAGACCCCGTCGACCACAAGCGATGAGGCGCCTCAGAATCGCTCCCATACTCTCGAAGACAGCGAAGCTGAGAGCAGCGATAATGAGCCGATTGCTAGAGACAGAGGCGACCTTGTCCCGCGTCCTAAGCCCGGCGGCTACGAAAGCCGCGTCGAACAGATCCTCTGGGAGAATCCGACCATGACTATCCTCATTACTGATGCAGGAAAGAGCGCGGAGAGCGGTGGAAAATACATTGTGTACACCATTCGGACAGGCGTATGTGGTTGTGTGAAGGATCGCTCCTTCAGTATTTGAGGTACTGACTATGCCATAGAACCTCGAAGTGCGCCGACGATACTCGGAATTTGCGTCTTTGCGTGAGGCATTGACGCGGCTGCACCCTACCCTGATTATACCCCCCATCCCCGAGAAGCATACCATGGCCGACTACGCCGCGAACCCTACGAGCGCAAAGCAAGATCAGCAGATTATTGACCTGCGCAAGCGCATGCTTGCCGTGTTCTTGAATCGATGCCGCCGCATGGAGGAGGTCCGCACAGACGGTGTTTGGTGGAGATTCCTGGACCCCAATGCTAGCTGGGTAGGTTGAAACGATCTTCTGGATAGTGACCCGGTAGCTAATCCATCGCAGAGTGAGGTCCTGCACTCTCACCCAGTCGCATCAGTGCCCAAGTCAGTCCTGAAGGCGCCTCCTTTGGACCCTGCGAACCCCACCCCTGCTCACAACTTCCTTCCTGTACCATCAACTTCCGCTAAGCTCAAGACGACGGGCGGCCCTGGTGTCGACCCCGGCGCGATCGCTGGAACTGGATCCCACGTCTTTGGCCGATTCCCTCCCGACAGCCACACCCTGAGCGAGCAAGAACTTGACCCCTACTTCATCACGTATGAGGCATCTATCAAGGAACTGGAGCAGCTGTTGTCGGGATCTATGGAGAAGGTCAACCGTCGGACCTTGAGCCACCTATCTGCACTGGCAGCGGATCTTTGCGAACTGGGCTCCAAGTTCAATGCGTTCGCGCTGTCTGAGCAAGCACCCTCTTTGGGCCCTGCCCTCGAGAGAGTGGGACAGGCGGCAGACTCTTCCTACATCGCTACCGAGGAGCTTTCTGGCTCTCTAGGTGCGAGTTTCGCGGAGCCTATGCGGGAGAATGCGCAGTTCGCAGGTGTTGTCCGCAGCGTGCTGAAGTACAGGGTGCTCAAGCGAGTACAGCAGGAACAGACCAGCGACGAACTTAGCAAGAAGATTGCGCTGCTGGACCAGTTGGAGCGCAGCGAGCAGGAAGCCAAGCGCATCGAACAGTACCTCAGTAGCAGCCAACAAATTGCGCCCGCGCCGAAGCGATCTACGAGCCTTAGAGAAGCGAACTCATCACACCAGCGCGAGGGCAGCGCCGAAGACACAGCTTCCATCGACTCCGACTTCCCTCCTACTCACGGCGAGCCGGTTCCCACCGCAACCCAGGGAGTTCCACAGAGGAGCAACTCGACTCCGGGCCATAAGAAGGCCGCGAGCAGCAACTCAATCACGAACAAAATCTTCGGACCGATTCGTCACGCTATTCAAGGTGTAGCTGACGTCGACCCCGAGAGAACTCGTCGTGACATGATTGGAAAGACGAGGGAGAGTATCGAGCAGCTTGAGCAGGCCAAGGTGGTTTCTGAGCACGATGTGAAGGAAGCCAGCGCAAGCATCTTGAAGGACTTGAAGAGATTTCAGGGAGAGAAGGAAGAGGACCTGCGACGTTACATGGTAAGTTGGGTGCTCAGTAAGGTGCTAGGAACGATTCTGTGCTGACCCGATTTATCACAGCTGGCTTATGCCAAGAGCCAAATTGAGTGGGCCAAGAAGAACAAGGAGACTTGGGAGGACGCCAAAGCCGAGGTCGCCAAGATTGACGAAAGTTAAGGGCATGGTGGGTTCATTAGGGAGAAAGGGAATTCGCGCAATGATATCAAAACAGACAAGGCTCAGAGGCCTCGAGCTGTTTCCAATAATTTGATGAGGCGTTGAGTCTACCGGGCGGCTGGCGTGGCACAGCAAGGCTCATTTGGCGTTTACGAGGGATTCGACATTCGTAAAAGTCATGGGATAGTCAAAGGCAATTAATCAACTCAGTTCAAAGTACCTTGTGGTTTCTCAAGATGCGTGACATTTCCCGTTTTTGGCCTCACTTACCAGTCTTTGGCCTCATGTGCCACAAACTTGGCCTCCCCATATCGTCGGATCTTAGACACATTTGCCTTGCCGATGAGGCTGTTAAAAGCATGCAACTTAGGTAGTGGCCTCAGGTCCTGAGTAAGCTCCTTAATCAACCATGTAACCTCTGAGGACGGGAACCGCGAACACGACGTTGATGCACAGTCTTATCTCGTTACCTTATCGATAAGAGGCCGATAAAGCTCCGAGACTTTGGCGTCGTGAGGCTACCTACTTACCAACGGAGGACCGATCCCGACTTGTACTTCCTTCTCTCCCCTTTTGCGCAACACCAGAAAAAAAGGTCCATCCGCAACCATGGATGGCGTACAGGGTCCCCCGCCCGAGGGCCCGATTGCCTCAATCGCAGAACCGGGCATCAAGGCCGACGGTCAACTGCTGTTCGACCTGCGCCGCGAGGTCGCCAACCTTTTGCATCGCAACCAGACCAGCTTCCCCGGCGCGCAGCCCGTCAGCTTCGCGCGGAAACACGTCGATGAGCTACGGAATAAAGAGTGAGTGCTTTCTGTCGCGCCCGTTCTCCGGCCTCCCGGCCACTGCACACGTTGCTCGCAGTGTGTCTTTTGCGGTCACCGAGACCATTTGTCAGGTGGGGAGGTTGGGAAGAGATGATTTGCAACTCAGTTTTTGCTGACAATCAGCGCGCTCCGCGAGCGCGTGAAAACAGCTACTACGTTTGCGAAAAGTCAGACGGCATCCGGTACCTGCTCTACCTCACAGAAGACGAGGGTCGGGAGATCCACTACCTAATCGACCGCAAAAACGACTACTGGTTCATCAAGAACAGCAGCTTCCACTTCCCGCGCAAGGACGACCTGACCAAATTCCACACGCGCACCTTGATCGACGGCGAGCTCGTCATGGACGACACGGGCAAGGGCACAAAGGAGCCGCGGTTCCTCGTCTTTGACTGCCTCGTGCTGGACGGGCAGGACCTCATGTCGCGGACGCTCGACAAGCGGCTCGCCTACTTCAACGAGAACATTTACAAGCCTTACCGGGACTTGTTTAAGCAGTACCCCGAGGAGCGGGATTTTCAGCCGTTCTTGGTGGAGATGAAGGCTATGCAGCTGAGCTACGGCATCGAGATGATGTTTCGCGAGATTTTGCCAAAGTTGCGGCACGGCAATGACGGGTTGATTTTCACGTGTGTGAGTAGTGATTACAAGCACGGCACCGACCCGCATATTTTGAAGTGGAAGCCGCCGGAAGAGAACACGGTTGACTGTCGGCTGCGGATGACGTTTCCTACGGTGCAGCCTGGCGAAGGGGACGAGGAGGCTGAGGGCCCGTTTGTGGACTACGAGGCTGTACCGCGGGCGGAGCTGTGGAGTTTCATGGGAGATGGGCGGTACCAGTTCTTTGACGACGTGCACATCACCGAGGACGAGTGGGAGGTGCTGAAGGGTCTGGGCGATCCGCTCAACGACCGCATCGTGGAGTGTCACAAGGACGACCTGGGCCGGTGGCGGATTATCCGGTTCCGCGACGACAAGTCGGAGGCGAATCACATTTCTACCATCAAGAGCGTCATGGAGAGTATCGAGGACCGGGTTACGGAGAAGGATCTTGCGGAGGCGGCCAAAGGGATCAAGGATAATTGGAAGACGAGGAATGCCAAGCGGTAGTCTCCATCGTTTGGTTTTTCCTACGTAAGAGGAAGAGGGATAAGGAAGGAAAGCAGAAGAGATACCTGGTTGAGGCTCCAACGGGTGCGTGGTTCGGGGGTTGAGGAGCACGGCGTGGGGTGATGTGTGAGTACTGTACGTGTGCGCGGTTCAGGATTGGACGAAGGCGTCTTGGTGTTGTGTTTTTTGCAAAAAGCCCCCAAGTTAAGAAACAGAGAATATGGAGGGGAGTTCAAAAAAGAGAACGGGGAAGGTGTTGGCCCCTTTCCTAAGCACCCTCGCCATCCTTCTGCTTCTCGAAGCTTGAGGTTGTCACGCATTCATAAGGGATAGCTATTTTTTGGCGTTTTCCAGCTTCTAGGATAAGCGAGGAGAGCATCACGGTTTCCGGGGCACGAGAGTGTATCGAGTATCTTTGAAATAAAAGAGTAATTCATCGCTAGATTGGACCTTTTTTTGATTCAAGACCAAATAGCTAGGTAGCCCCCCGAGACTTCTCGTTGAAGAAGGGATGCTACCGGTAGGTATTTCACCCTTTCCCATACATAGCCATAGGGGGGCGAAGGTGTGTGGTTGTGTGTGCTTGTTCCACAATCACAAGCCAAAAAAAACCAGCAAGGGATGATAGAGAGGTTTCGCACGCATTGCTTGCTTGCTACAACTTGGGATGATCTAGATGAATATTGACTCAGATTCAAAAAAGTCTAGCTCCCGTCCCCAGTGACAGAACATGTAGACATGGACATGTAGGGCAGTTGCTGACATTGATGAATTGGGTAAAAGGCGCTCGGCATCTTACCTTAGGTAAGAGCTCCCCAACAAACCATCAAGCTCAGGAAACAAGTGCCCCCCCGCACCAGATACCTACCGTGCCTACCTAAGGTGAGGTAGTGTCTGAGCAGGCACGGACACTGGACTGCCTTCCGTAACCTCGAAGACGTCACAAAAGGAAAGCCAAAAGCTTCCCGTCCCAATCTTACATTAGCCCACGCGGTGAAATCGATCGTTTTGGCGGCGAAGGGAGGGATAGAGAATGGCTTAGGCAGTGCCCATTGAAAGAAGCTACAACGTTGAAGAAGCTCCCCCTCTTGACATCGATCTCAGTCCTCGCTTCAACCGTCAGATTCCTCCTTCAATTTCTCTTCTTCTCTTGCGTTCTTCTAGATTTGTCCTGCGACTCACGATAGACTCAATTGGCGCCTCTAATACAATACGACCACCTCTGCACCGCCTCATAACCTACGACACGTCACGTTCTGGGAGAATAAATTGTTCCACTCTTGCGTCCTGCATCAATTGCAGCATCGCCGCCCACCATGATACTCGGACCGGTGTCACTGCTCGACTGTCTCGTCTTTGTTATTTTCCTCACGCCACAGCTCCTCATCAATGTCGGCTTCTTCCCGACGGTAGTCGTCACCTTGAAGATGCTGCCTTTCCTCGTGTTTCAACTGCCGACTTCCCTGTTCCGCGAACGATATCTCCTACGCCACGACGAGCAATCGCCCTTTGTGCAGCGCGCGAGTTTCTTCGAAGATTTAGTCATACGCTGCGTGCGTTACGCCTTTGCAAACTTGCCAACCAACATTGGACGTGTCTTCTTTTCAAAGTACATATCTCTGCCGTTTCTGCGGTTTCGAATGCTGCGGCATGGCTATCTCAGGTCACCTGCGACCTGGAGTGAGCACAAGGAAAAGGTTAGTGTAACCTACATCTCAGTGCACAATGGCCGGTGGCTTATTTGAATGATAGGGCCAACACGGCTTCGAAGGGGTTTGGATCCAAAAGGATGCGTCGCAACCGCCCGACATTGTGGTATACTACGCCCACGGAGGCGGTTTCGCCATGGGCTCCGCGTACTTTTACCTCGAATTTCTTCTGTCGTGGCACTCACTACTCGTCCAAGCCGGCTACCGGAACCCTGCTATATTCTCTCTCGAGTACACCCTCGTGCCCGATAAAATGTACCCGAGGCAAATGTACGAGACTTTGAGGGGCTATAAGCATGTTCTGAAAAAAGTCGGAGACCCCCGGAAGGTAGTTGTTGCAGGAGACTCAGCGGGAGCAACCCTGATATTGACGTTGTTGCTGGAGCTGGGCCACATGAACGAGGCCCGGGCATTCAAAGAGAAGAGTGAAGATTCCACCGCATCTGAAGGTCGAAGTCAGGAGCACTTGCGCCAGGCCTCAGAGTCCCCTCTACCAGGGCTCTGCGTCTTGATTTCGCCGTGGGCCAAGCTCATCTCCAAGCATGAGAACACGGCCAGCGACTTTCTTGATCGCGACACGCTGTGGAAATACGCGGTGCAGTATGCCGGGGCAGCGCATGTCTACGACAAGACCGCGTCGCCTGGGCAGTGCGCCGATCCTCGGGTGTGGGCGGAAGCTAGTCCACTTTGTGGCTTCTTCATCACGTACGGATCAGAAGAGGTGTTCGCGCCCGACATCAAAGACCTGATAAACGTCTTGGTCAAAAGTACCGAGGTCGACAGTCGCAGCGAGGATGGTGGTATCCACGCCTGGCCCGTTGTTTCGTTGTTCCTGTCAAGTACCGAGGACAAGAGACTCAAGGGTCTGCGGACACTCACGTCAGCCATCAGAAAACATATCCAGTAGAAGTCCTGTCAAAGACAGATTGTTGTTTTTAGAAAAAAGTCTGATTAGATCAAGTAAAAACTATCATAAACCGAGGCACGCCAACCTCGAAACCTGAGTTGAGATGACTCGGTTTGTACAGTTGTGGCCTCTTGGGGTGGTCTCCAGCTGTTTCTCTTCGTTATCTTCATCCTCGGCCACCAATAGGAATAGGCGCAAACAATAGAATTTAGTGGTTTGATTACCTGCATGATTGAGTTGCGTTCCTGCATACCGGGCCGTCCGCCGACAGGAAATTGCGACGGTAGTAGGGTGATATCTGTTCTGAAAAACAGCGACAAACATTTCGCGAAGAAGCGTTGAAGGATGCAGACAAGTTCTTCGTAGCCCCGCTACAAAGTCGCCCCGGCGGGGAGGACGATTGACGAGCTGGACGTGGACGCGGACGGGGCTACTCGAGAGTCGAGGTGCCGTCGCAAAGCTTGGACGGGTAGGGAGCTGTAGTGGGTCTCGGATGAAGTCATGTGTGGTTCAAACAGTGACGAGTCGAGAAGCGCGACGGCTTTGCGACAGAAAACATCTTTTTCGGACGACGGGGTTCCTTGATGATGGCGCGCTGCAGAAAGGGCTTGTCTGCCCAAGGTACAGGGAGGGTGCCAGCTCCAGGCAGCATTGGGGGTAGATGGCGGCGGGGTTTGACGATGTCGGGTGTCTCATGAAAACAAAGCCAGCTCGTACGTAGGTCACGGCCGCGAAGTATGGTATGTCGAGAATGAACGAGTAACGAGACAAGATTCTCTAGGAGTTCAAAGGTGCGCCGTAAACCAAGTCTAGAGTTTGAAAACAAGGGCCGAGATTGATGAGGGGAGATGGAGCTGACAGGGCAAGAAAGGGATCAGCCAGCCTGCCGTGCCCTACGTTGCCATGCTTGCTTCGGTTGAGCCATCCTTTTCAGCCTGCCTCACGTTACTTCGCGCCTCGAGATGCAGCCACGCCTGCGAGGTTGCGACATGCGGCGGCAAGCTGGGACGAAGGGGGAGACATCGACCATGTGGCGAGATCAGTGATGACGACGATGGGCTGCAACTTGACGAGAAATCTCTATTGAGGGTTGAGTGGCACACAAGACAGGCGCGAGTATGATGGTTCGGAGAGGTCCTAGAAGAAGTTAGAGAGAAAAGGAAGGAAAGCAGAGGCGTTCGGTGTTCGAGAAAGTGAAGGAGTACGTGGGCGCAAAGTGAGAATTCGGGACACCTTGGAAATAGGTGCCTCCCGTGCTCCCTCATGGAAGGAGGACTGGCCAGGCAGGTACCGACAGAGCTTAGCTAGCGCGGAAAGGTACAGAGGCCCATCAAGCAGGACTAGCGGCTGTGCTCATGCAGGATTTGGGAAGGCGTGGCCACAGCTCGGGCATCCTGAGCCAATCAGCATAGCAGCGTGACCCCTGCCTGGGCGTGTTTTTGGGGGGAAGAGCAGAGGGCAGCAAAAAAGGGGAGTTGGGAAGGAGCTCTGACCCGCGACACGCATATAAACGGTGGACATTCCCACCGTGATCCATCAAGTCGCCAGGAGTGAGGAACCCGCACACCGCGAAAAGAAGGAGCCCACCCAGCCGCTGGCTGCACCTGCCACCGACCGCACCGCACCGTACGTTCCGTACCACCGCACCGCATCGCCGTCCGCCCTCCGCAGTTTCTCGATCCGTCGCATCGTCCCACGGCCGTCTTTTCCTTCCTTCCTTCCCCTCCTTCAGTGTCCTTCCTATCCAATCATTCCAATTCGTTCCTGCTCAACCACCAACTTCCAACAAGGTACACACTTGCGCTTGCGCCCAGAGCGTGTAGCGCCTTCCTGTACTTGTGTGTCTGCGCCTACCTACTTTGTCGCCGCCTGGCCTTGCCTCGTCTGCCTGTCAGACCGACTGCATCCTTCCCGATGGGCGCATGTCAATTTTGAGGCTCGACTGACCACACCTTGCCACCTGGACTTGGAAAAGACCAATACCAAGCAATTCTCCTCCTACTACATCACCTCACTTCGCTATACAATTCCTTTCATATACAAATCCCTTCTCACATTTTAATCATCTCCCACCATTACATCAGAGCATCAGGCCGCTTCCGAAAGTACCGCTGTTGCCCCGCACAGGAACGCCTGACCACACGTCTCACGCCCCAGGACTGAACCCCGAAAGCCCCAAGCTTACAGAACTCCCACCACCCCTGGCTCGCTAGACACACCGAAACCTTATCGAGTGTCACTCCCAGTTTTCAGGTCTGACTCAGCAAAAACGCCGTTTACACACCTTGGACCAAGAGACTATTTGGCATACACCAAGATCTCGGACGAGAGCCTGTCTCACAGCCACGCTCCCAACGTCAGTCAGTCATCAGTCACCGCCCACACAGGCTACACTGAGTCTGAGGGACTTCCAGCCTTACTCCCACGCCATCCGAGATACCTAGGTTCCATTCCAACGGGAAGCGACGCCGGGATTGGCCAGTTGCGACGTTGGGCCTCGACGTCCACGCAGACTCGCCGAGAGCTTAGTGAGCCAGGATTGTCTCTACTGCAAGTGGTTCGTTTTGCTGGACCTGGGAAGCAATACTATCCTCGACTTGCAAATCTGTCAAGAGGCTTTCCGTACAGTGCTGCTCAACACGCTGCTATCCACCGTTTAGGTCCAGCACACTGTTGCAAACACGCTAGGGTGTTGAGAGGATATTACGAACCCTTCATGTTGTAGGCCGTGTACTGGCTTTGATCTTGTCTCTTCGCCATTTGCTCCTGTATCGCAGCGCTGCCCAACACGTTGGCTGAGGCTGTCTTACACACGCAAAACACTCTTACTTCTCACAAAGGCGTTTGCGCTGTCTCGTCTTGTTATCATATTTCAAGCCGAGCTTGGCAGCAACACTTTGCCTCGATTTACTGTCATCAACAACACGCATTGCCTTGGCCCGCGTCTGTCGGACCTTTACGCCCTGATTCCCAAGGATATGACGGTGGAATAGATCGTCACCACATTCACCGCACGTAGCAGCCCAAGCCTGAATCAGGACTCATACGCCGTGCTTCCCTGGACCTTTCATCCACTCAGCGACTAAAGACGGAACACATCCATCATTAGACGCAATCACACAGACATTCCAAGATTGTTCGGGTTGAGGCAGACGATATTCCCACAGCGGACAAGAAGAGGCGGGGGTGCAGGCTGGGTTTTGTACGCGAAAATCAGTCCCTGCCTTTCGCTTAATCATCCAGTGTCCCACGCCAGCCAAACTTGGATTGGAACCTTGGCCAATTTTTTCCGGGGCGCCAGCCAAGGCCCCCTGTCGTTTGGCCTCCACTTCCAAATTGGAAAAAAAAAAGCGGCCATCAATTTTTCCACAAGGGCCGGAGGTAGAGGGGGAAAAAATAATAAAAATGGCGGACGACACAACCTACGCACCAAAGTCGCCGGACCTCTCTTCTTTTTTCTCGGCAGCACCCGCCCCGCCTACACCTCCACTGCACACTCACAGTCTGCAGCACTACCAGCAACAACTGAGCAAGCTGCAAACCTCTCCGTCTGCTGCACCGCCCGTATATGAATACTCCTCCCCCTCGGCACGCATTCACCACCCAAGCCAGCCGTCTTCAACTCCTGTTCACATCAAACAAGAGCAGCCCCACTACCCAACACCAGCGGCAATCAAAACGGAATTCTCTTCCTATCAGCCACCGCTGCAAACTCACCCCGGCCAGCACCAGCCCCAGCACCAATACCAACCGCTCCAGCAGCAGCACTACCTGTCCCCCCAGTACCACCAGTCGCCGCCACACCAACACCCATCTCCGCAACATCCCCCACCACATATACAAAGCGCGTATGGGATACAGCCCGTTCTCAACTATCAGGAACAGCAACCCCATCAGCCCACAACACCTCAAAGCCAAGGATTTCTAGACCAGAAAAACTTTGGCGGAGCACCCCAATTACACGACATTCCTTATAACCCAGATTTACAACATCTACCACAAACACCGGCTTCAGCAACTATGCCTCCTAGAAAGAACACAAAGCAGGCTGACTCGCCACCTCCAATTGATCCTTCACCTGTTCGGACAAAGTTCCCCACAGCCAGGATAAAGCGGATCATGCAGGCCGATGAGGAGGTTGGCAAGGTTGCCCAGCAGACTCCCATTGCCGTTGGCAAGGCTCTCGAGATGTTCATGATTGCTGTTGTCAGCCGCAGTGCCGAAATCGCGCGGGAGAAGAACTCCAAGCGGGTCACAGCTCAGATGCTCAAGCAAGTCATTGAGACAGATGGCCAGTATGACTTCTTAGCCGACATTGCCGCCAAGGTTGGCGACGAAGAGAAGAGAGGTGGCCGCTCCAAGGCCGAGTCGTCAAGCGACGAGGAGATGGAGGTTGAGACGAAGAAGAAGGGCAAGGGTGGCCGTAAGAAGAAGGCCGCTGCATGAGTTCTCTCATATTCAGTTTGGGTCTGTGTCTTGAGGCCAGGGAAGGGAAATTTCCCATGATGAGAAATATGACTAGGGTTATGAGGATTGGCGTTGGACTGGCTGGCATCTACATCGGCGTTGGGTGACACGGCGATAAACTCGTCGAGCCGCACCTTGGGGGAATATTATATGGTTTACCTTATGGAAAGGAGGAACAAGCGCTGCTTCCTCGACTTGCATGCCATGGACGGCTTGTCTTCTATATGCGCATCCAGCCTATCTTGGACAAGCCTTTTTACAATTTTAGAATGAGAGCATCTTATCGTTTGCGCAACATGATTCCTATAATAACGTGAATGAGATGGGCATGAACCACACACACCTTGAAGCGTCTTGCTGCTGATGTACCTTCGCCAGGGGACGTCTCATGTAGAACTCACTTTCCACTCATTCAAAGACACCCTGCTCATTGAGGCACATTTGAGCTTGACGTCGTTGCTAGACTGTGCTTCATCGAGTAAAATCTTAGAATCGCTGCAGTTTCCTTATGGATTTTGCCCTGTCTGTCAATG